TATTAGTTCTAAAGTCTGAAGAATTTGGTTTAAATTCAGAGTTCTGGACAGGCGCAGCAATCACGCCTGTTATCCCAGCACTTTAGGAGACAGAGATGAGAGGATGGCCTGAGCCCAGAGGTGCGAGACCAGCCTGGGCAACTTGGTGAGACCTTGCCTCTACAGTAAATCAAAAAATTAGCCAGGCATGGTGGTGCATGCTTACAGTTCCAAGGCTGAGGCAGAAGGATTGTAAGAGCCCAGCAGGTTGATGCCACTGCACTCCAGCCTGGGCAGCAGAGTGAGACTGTGACTCAAAAAATAGATAGCCAGGCTCGGTGCCTCAGCCTGTAATCCCGCGTCTTGGGAGGCTGAGGTGAGTGGATTGCCTGAGCCCACGGGTTCGAGACCTGCCTGGGCAACTTGGTGAGACCTCATCTCTACAATAAATCAAAAAATTAGCCGAGCATGGTAGCATGCACCTGTAATTCCGGCTACTTGGAAGGCTGAGGCGGAAGGATCGCCAGAGTCCAGCAGGTCAAGGCTGCAGCGGCCGGGAGGGGCCACTGCACTCTAGTCTGGGTGACAGAGTGAGACTCCAACTCAAAAATAAATAAATAAATAAATAAATAGAAAAATTCAGGGTACTATCATTTACTAACTAAACTCATGATTAATTTTAGGATTAGGATTGGCAATCTAAGATGTTTGTGTTTTTTATTTTTTTATTTTTTTAATTGTATAGACGAGGTCTTGCCAAGTTGCCTGGGCTGGTCTCAAACCCACAGGCTCAGGCAATCTACTCGCTTCGGCCTCCCAAAGTGCTGGGATTATAGGCTGAGCTACTGAGCCCGCCTTGTTTGTGTTTTGAAAACAACTTCTGAGACTTAGTTTCCTCATTGTGGCAAAGTGAATTTTTCAAAGATAGCGGCAACAATGTCTCCCATTCCACATGCTCTTCTTCAATGACCTTGCCACTTCTCCATGGAGGTGGAGTCTGTCTCATTACCACCTTGAATATGGTGGTCCCTGTGACTACTTTGATCAGTAGAATACAGTGGCAGTGATGTGTACCAATTCTAGACAACTCTCTTAAATGGCCTAGCAGCTTCTGCTTCCCGCCTACTGGAACCGAGCCTCCTGTGCAAGGCCCAAGACAATGGAGAAACCATGTGTAGGCACTTGGGTAGACTGAGCTCCTAGGAAACAGCCAGCCTCAACTGACAGCCAGGCAAGTAAATCACCTTGGCCATCCAGCCAAGTTATCAAATGATTCCCAGTTGCCATCTGACTATGACCGCATGAGATACTTTCAACTGAGCTCAAGCGTGAGAAGTAAAAACCTGTCCTGTTCAGCCACTATGTTTTAAGGTGGTTTGTTGTATAGTGTTAGATAATCACAACACTCATTTATGGAATGGGAATAATCAACCCTTTGCACTCAGATGTCCTCTTAGAGGGAATGTCGTAAATCTAGCAAACCACTCAGATGTCCCCTCTCAGGGGACATAAAGAGATTGCTAGTGATTATACAGGACAAACAAATGCCAGTGTAAATTTTTCAAAAACATATGTTTCCTTGACGTTTCCAATCAAACTGTAAGAGAAAACAAAGAGATGAAATATATACTGGGATATATGTAAAAAAAAAAATATCAGCTGGCATTACGTAGGAAGAGAATGTCCTTCCATTTCATCTTAGGACAGACTGGACAATAAACTACATATTATTAAGGTGAGAGGAAGAAAACAAGACTGTATGGTCTGCTTAAATAGAAAATACCAGGTGGAAGATGTCAAACAAATTACTATTGCATATGTGTTAATGAACCTGCAATGCATGTTTGTTGGTGACTCACACGTTACCACGTTAGAAAAATATAAGATGTAAAATTTTGATTTTTTTTTTTGCCATAGGGAAGTTCTTCAATGTCCAAAATTCCATTATTCACCAAATATCAGTACAATAAAATAATTGGTTCCAATGCTATACCATTTAATAGAAGGTGATTCATTTTTCAATATTTTGTAAAAAAGTGTGGTTGAAGCTGGGCTCGGTGGCTCAGCCTGTAATCCTATGCTTTGGGAGGCTGAGGTGAGTGGATTGCCTGAGCCCACGGGTTTGAGACCCGCCTGGGCAACTTGGCAAGACCTCATCTCTACAATAAATCAAAAATTAGCTGGGTGTGGTAGCACACGCCTGTAGTTCCAGCTACTTGGAAGGCTGAGGCGGAAGGATCGCCAGAGCCCAGCAAGTCGAGGCGGCGGTGGCCACGAGCGTGCCACTGCACTCCAGTCTGGGCGACAGAGTGAGATTCCAACTCAAAAAAAAAAAAAGTACGGTTGAATTGCTGGTAGGTGATCTGCAAGACGCCTACAAGTGCAAAGAGCTGATGATCCCTACTTTTTTCTTACCTTTTAAAAAAAATTTAATCACCTTTGAGAATCATACAGAAATGTTTTAAAATTCAGTTACAATATTATGTGAAATCACTTTCTAAGTAGTAAAGCACTATACAACCATAAGCTAGCTTCCTTCCTTCCTTTTATTCCTTTTTTCCTTTTGTTGGTGTCTCACCCTATGTTGCCTAGGCTGGAGTGAAGTAGCAGGATAATGGCTCAGGCGATCCTTCCACCTCAGCGTCCCAAGCATCTGGGACTACGGCTAGTGCCACCATACCTGGCTAATTTTTCTTTTATTTTTTGTAGTGACAAGGTCTTGCTATGTTGCCTAGGCTGGTCTCAAATGCCTGGGATCAAGTAATCCTCTTGCCTCAGCTTCCCAAAGTGCTAGGATAATAGGTATGAGTCAGAGACTGGCCAATAATTTTTCAATAAATACTTCTTTCATAAAGGAGTATGTTAAAACTCTTTTATAGTCAACGTAGGAGAGGTAATGCCATATTTGTCTTACAATTACTCCTAGTTCTCTGGTAGGAATGATGTATTTAACGTGCTCTCCACTAATTTGGTCTTTCCTCTCAGGCATGAAACCTTCCCAGGCCATCTACGGAACTGGCCTTGTGATGGTCTTTTGGCACCATTAACACTATTTTTTTGTAATTCTGTATCCAAATCCTCCAGGACCCTATCTCTCACCCCCATTTCAGCTATATGCACACAGTTCCTTTTCAGAACAAGATCCTGATACCAAAATGGATCATCATCTCAATTCACCTATCCAAGGCAAACTATAATCAGTCTGTCCCTCTGGCTAAATGTTTCTGCAGCATCTATTCTTCCCCATTATAAAGTGTTGGGAAGTGGTAATATAGATAATAGAGTGGTTAACAGAGAGTATATTATAGATAGCACAGCAGTTAAAAATGGAGATTATGGATTTGATTCCTTACTAGCTGTTTGACCTTAGGCAAGTTAACCTTTTTTGCCTCATCTCCAGCATATGTAAGTGTTTAATACAGCACCTGGCATATACTAAGAGTTATATGTTAGCTATTATTATTCTATCACTTGGTTTCATCTTTTGTCAGATTAACAGGGCCAACCATAGTTTGTATTAACAGAGCAATCATTCAAACCTCAAAAGGCAGAATACATATCTCATCTTTCTTTTTCTTTTCTTTTTTTTTTTTTTTTTTTGAGTTAGGGGTTTCACTCTGTCACCCAGGCTGGAGTACAGTGGCATGATCACAGCTCACTGCAGCCTCAATCTCCTGGACTCAAGCAATCCTTCTGCCTCAGCTTCCTGAGTAGCTGGGACTACAGGCGTGTGCCACCACACCAGGCTAATTTTTTTGTAGAGACTAAGGATCACTATGTTGCCTTGGCTGGTTTCAAATTCCTTGGCTTAAGCAGTCCCGCTGCCTCAGCCTCCCAAGGCGCTGGGATCATAGGCATGAGCCACTGCATCCAGCCTTCCCCTGACTTTCAAAAGCATTTTCATTCATATTTCACAATGACAGTATGGCATGTTGAAGAATTAAATGTAAGCCCTGGCTAGGAACGGTGGCTCAAGCCTATAATCCCAGCACTTTGGGAGGCTGAGGTGAGAAGATTGCCTGAGTCCAGGGGTGAGACCAGCCTGGGCAACTTGGTGAGACCTCATCTCTACTATAAATCAAAAATTTAACCAGGCATGGTGGCATGTGCCTTTAGTTCCAGCTACTTGAAAGGTTGAGGCAGAAGGATCGCCTGAGCCCAGCAGGTTGAGGCTGCAGTGGCTGGGAGCATGCCACTGCACTCCAACCTGGACAACAAGGTGAGACTCTGACTCAAAAATTACATAAATAAATAAATGTAAGCCCTGACTTTTAGTATTCCTGATCAGCTCTGACTAAATAAGTACTTAGAACTTAATTTCCCTATGTCCCACAGTAAGTCTTTTTAAGATTCAGTCTGGCGGTGGGAGTGGTGGAAGAAGATTCTGTCTGTCAGTAAGATAAATTTAGTAGGTTCAATACCCTATATTGTCAGTGAATATCAGGTGAGTATCTGATTCTCAGAACAATAACTTATTTTCTTCCAACTTTCCTTTATTTCCACACATGCAGCCCTCCATATGGCATAAGAGCACTTGGAAATATTTTGATAATCTGAACATTCACTAAATGGGAAATTATTTTGTCAAGGCCTCGACTAGAGAAAGATCTGGATTAGGGTGACTGCTTCTCCATGGGCTAAAGGAGAAAGCAGAACTAAAACAGAACACAACTGCTCAGACCCATTTATCACAGCCTTAAAATGTCAACTGGCAATCCCTGTAGTGAATAAAATGGGAAATACAGACATCTAACTAAAGGTGTCTTAGCTTTTCAACCAAAACCTTTATTGGTTCCCCTATATATATGTTTTAATCTGCTTTATTGTTCTTGTGACCCACTAAACCTATTTTTCTTAAAACATAAAACCCTAAAATGTAGGCATCCCAGCTGATTCTCTTCCCACCATGCACAGGAAGGAAATATTTGGTGTCCAGGGCCTCAAGACCTGAAAAGCTCTTAATTAGCTTATGAATTCAGGGAATTGGGGATAGAGTTACTAAAGAGGTTGAAACAGTAGAGGTGGGTTGAAGCACTTTTAATCACAGAAGAGTAAACAACAGTATAAAACCATTAACTGCTGAACCGGTGGCTGCTGTCCTCCTCCAGCTCCCCACTCACCCTCTTCCACGCCCCCCTCCCTGCGTACCATTCAGTCAAGAGCAAGGTATCAGCAGCTGTCCCTGTCACTGTCAGGTGGTAGGAAGGGATCTAGCTCGCGGCCACAGCAGTCCTGGCCACTGTCCACGGTTCAGTTTCCATACAACTTCATCACACGATATACGCCAACTCCAAAAGGGGAACAGTGCAGAAACCTGGAGCTGATCCCAGCTGCTCCATTCAGATGGTCCAAGGGTTTAGAACCTCAAGAGCCGTGGGCAGAAAGGAATGGGATAGTCTGGAGCCAGCATAATTCAAGATGCAGCCAAATCTAGGATTGAGGTGGGTTCAAAGGGAGCCAGGCCTAGAGGCCCCAGTCCAGAATCGTGCCCCAACCCAGGCAATGAAATTCATGCATATGCACAAATGCACATGCACAAGCATGCACACACACACACACACACTCACACACAGAGCAAATAACATTATTGAAAGGACCTGAAGGCTGTTAAATACAAAATGGCAGAATTTTTTTTAAGTGAAAAATATTTGCTTCTTTGATTCTCCTCCATGCCTTGAAGTCCCCCTAGCCACAGAAGAGTAGATGTCGGGAGGTCCAGGAGGGGTGTGTTGCCAGTGGCTTACAAGTTCATGTGTGCTTAAGTCCCCAAACCAACTACCTTACTCTTCAGCCCAGTAGCTGCCTCCCATGTGGCCATTCACCCGATTGGCACCATTGCTGGAGCTACTGTCGCAGGGACTTTTTGTGCAGGTAGTCACATCTTCTTCCTCTGAGCTGCTCTCCACATCACTGCGATCATCCTTAGATACCTGGGTAGGATGGGACCAAATGCAGGAAAGTGAAGACAAAACTTTCTGGAGAGAATCCTAAGATAGACTAAGCTCAAAAAGCCCATGTTTGAGCACTGTTACCAATCTAGTCTACTTCCTAGTGACATCTAACCCAAAGTATTACCGGGGCTATGGCTCCTGTTATGAATATTCTTTGCCTGCTTTCTGGTTTTCTCTTGTCCTCTCTGATTCTGTTCTCTATGAAATAGAAGCTGCTTTAGCAGAGGAATGTATCTTTTAGGACCAGCCTAAGAGAACTGACATCATTTATTGAGCTTAGGTTTGAGGGAAACTCTAGATACACTTTTCCCTCTTCTATCTCAAAGAACAGGGAAGGTCAGTGCAAACAATACAGATGACTGTCAGCAGTGCTTCTATCTTCTGGTGGCTGTGGACACAGCATTTATTTATACTGGTTATTTATTCATGTTGGTTATTCCGAGTTTTGCTGTGCCACCAAAGCTGATCCATAATGGGCCTTTTTCAGAAGTTTATTATTCCTAGGCTCAAGTACTACTATCCCATGACACTGTTTCCCAATCTTCTCCCCTTTCCCACTAGCATAATCACTTCTCTTGTGAAACTTCAGCATCCCCAAGATACACAGTATAGTGAAAACAAAAATGTAATGGCAGTCAATAAGAAAAGTATTCCAAACATGCTACCATCTGTGAATCTTTGCCTATTAATCTGAGCTTTTTTGTATTTTCAAATGAAGTGTCTGGGTTAGTCTTTTCCAATCTAGACTACCCTGCAAATCAAGCAAAATATTTCAAACTCTCTGCCTTGGACCACAAAAGTAAAGGACAGAAACCCAGTTTCTGTGTCAGATTTCTGACCTCCAGGACTGAAGGAAATTAATGTATGTTCTTTTTGTTGCTGTTTTAAAAAGTAAAGTAAAGAAGGAAGTGAAAAGGAATAAAGCTATAACTGCTGTTGCCAAAGAGGTGAGCATTCGCTTTACATTAGCACTCAGGATTTGCATTGAATGGTTCTTCTATAGTTTATTATAGCTGTTGACCTCTGAGCCCAGATGACTAATTGATTACCTAATCTTTAGGAAATTTCCACCAGAGGGCAGAGTGTATCTAGATTTGAGGTAAAGGAAGACTCAAGAAAAGAGTAGACTGAACTCTTGCCTCAATTTAGGAGAAAGAATCTGGCAACTTCAGCTCCATTCAACAGTGGCCCCCACAGGTGAGGAGAGAGGGCAGGCTCTGAGACAAACAAAGGGGAAAAGGAAGGAGAACAGGAAGGAAGAGAAGTACATGCAAAGACATGCTTCACTGAGTACTAGAAGCACAGATACACTTACATGCAAGAGATGAAACTGTCCAGCTCCCGCCAGGCATAGAAAAAAGGAAGGAGGTGAGAAAAGAGTGGAGAGTACAGAGTCTGGGTCTAATCCTTCCTGGATAGGTCACCTGGTCAGGAAAAAAAAAAGCAAGGAGAACAGAGATGTCCAATAGCTTCAGCAAGATGCAAAGGCACACTGAGCAAGTTCTGAAACCAATTGCAGCCACAGTGAACAATAACATAAGAGATCAGAAACAGCTAGGTTACATTCCATCAGTTGGTCCTAGTATCAATACCTCCTCCAGCAGAGCCCCTCCCACTTGGGACTGCTTTAGGCTGAAATCCCTAGCTCTTGGGCTAATCATAATGTTTCAGAACTTGCAAAGTTCAATTATGAGTTTTATCATTAAATGGCACCTTTCATTGGCTCTTGGCATAAGATAGGTAATGGACATACTGCATGCCCATTCAGCTAGGACCCTTCCATTATACATCACTGGGGTGAGGCAGGTACTTAGTTCCTCATATAAATTGTATTGAATATCACAGCATGGTCATCTTGGGGTGGTTTGTGAACTACCACACCATTCTTAGACAACCTAACAATCTGCGTTTATACTGTTCATATCTTGGAACTCTGCATGTTACAAACAAAAATAAGAAATCTGCTGAAGTAAATAGGTAAAGGGTTGAAATGATTGAGGCCATTTCTAAAACCCTTAACCTTACTTATTCTTTAACAAAAGCCATTCTTTTTGAGTTGAATTCTCACTCTGTCGCCCAGGCTGGAGTGCAGTGGCACACTCACGGTCCAGTGTTGATCTGCTGGGCTCTAGCAATCCTTTCGCCTCAGCCTTCCAAGTAGCCAGAACTATAGGCACGCACTACCACGTCCAGCTAATTTTTGATTTATTGTAGAGATGAGGTCTCGCCAAGCTGCCCAGGCTGGTCTCGAACCTGCAGGCTCAGGCACTCACCTAGGCCTCCCAAAGTGCTGGGATTACAGGCTGAGTCACCAAGTCCAACCCATAAAAGCCATTCTTTTTTTTTTTTTTGAGTTGGAGTCTCACTCTGTCACCCAGAGTGGAGTGCAGTGGCATGCCCCCAGCCACCGCAGCCTCGACCTGCTGGGCTCCAGCCATCCTTCCACCTCAGCCTTCCAAGTAGCTGGAACTATAGGTATGTGCTACCCACGTCCAGCTAATTTTTTTGATTTACTGTAGAGATGAGGTCTCGCCAAGTTGCCCAGGCGGGTCTTGAACCCGCAGGCTCAGGCAATTCACTCGCCTCGGCCTCCCAAAGCACAGGATCACAGGCTGAGCCACTGAGCCTGGCCATTCTTAAAGGACAAGAAAAAGGTAGATCCTTCCTCTTACAGCTAAATCATAGCTTAAAAGGTTAATCACTCATAGAAAAAAAAACAACTATGGAGTCTTAGTCTTTTTGCCTGGTCTGCTAATGTGGATGGGGCTCACCAGGCTAGATGGGGAAAGAAGGTCTGTTGATTATCACCCATCTTCCCACACAGACCAAAGAAAGAAGCCACCTTTCATCCTCACCTTTCCCCGGATCAAAGCTTTGAAAGCAATTCGTGCAATTAGGTAGGACCAGATGACATGCAGAACCTGTAGTATCAGGAGAAGGCCATTGAATAACCACCAAGAAGAATAGGGCCCGATCATCTCCCAGCTCTCAAAGAGGGTCGTGTTCAAAATCCTAAAAGTGGAAGACCAACAGTCAGATTCTAGAGTCAAAGTTAGGTAGATGGGGATGAAGCTGAGTTCCTTGGGGTGCAAACCCTGTGTGTGTCCTCTCAAGCCTTGTATTAGTTGAAGTTCCAGGGATATTAATCCACTGTGAGAAAAGAATAAGAAAGGGAGGAGCCTGTGGTGATTCTATCTTTAGGGACAGAGGAAGAGATATAAATATAAATCTTAGGAATTAATGGATTAAGTCACATTATTTATCACTTCAAATACGGAAAGTTTCACAAAATTGGGACAGCAATGGGACTATAATCCTTAGCATTATCCTCAGGCACACATAGGACAGTAGGTAGCTGATGCCCTCAGACTAAGCAAAATCTCCAGTCCACAGTCATGGACTTTATACCATAAAGTAGTGAGTGTAGAAGTGAAAGGATAGCTGGAGACAGTACATTTGTAATCCTAACGACTTGGGAGGCTGAGGCAGGAGGATCACTTGAGGTCAGGAGTTTGAGAACAGCCTGGGCAACACAATGAGACCCCATCTCTAAAACAATTTTTTTTTCCTAAAACAATTTTAAAAATTAGCTGTTAGTGCACACCTATAGTTCCAGCTACTCAGGAGGCTGAGGTGGGAGGATTGCTTAAGCCAAGGAATTCAGGGCTGCAGTGAACAATGATCATGCCACTGCATTACAGCATGGGCAACACAGTGAGACCCTATCTCTAAAAAAACAAAACAAGGCCGGATTTGGTGGCTCGGTCTGTAATCCCAGCACTTTGCGAGGCCGAGGCGAGTGGATTGCCTGAACCCACAGGTTTGAGATCAGCCTGGACAACTTGGTGAGATCTCGTCTCTACAATAAATCAAAAATTAGCTGGGTGTGGTAGCATACACCTGTAGTTCTGGCTACTTGGAAGGCTGAGGCAGAAGGATCGCCAGAGCCCAGCAGGTCAACCCTGGGGTGGCCATTAGCGTGCTACTGCACTCCAGCCTGGGCAACGGAGTGAGACTCCAACTCAAACAAAACAAAACAAAACAAAGTAAATAGAAGTGAAAAGAGGTGCCTATGTCTGTGTGTGTGTTGGCCAAGGTTGGGAAGAAGGTATAGAGAAGAACACAAGCAAGAAGAGTCTGAGAAACTAAATAGTGCAAAAGAAGGCAAAGGAATTACTTAGGCATAGAATGAGGACTGCTCCTCAGAGATGAGTCAGGAAAACCAGAAGTGAAGTGAGCTGATCACTCTGAGTCTGGATCAGACCTTGCTAGAAATATGGTATAAGGCAGCTGAGGTCTTGGGAGAGTCCATAAAGATCGGCTTAGGCCAAGGAAAAAACAGGGCAATAAGGTTCTTGGTGTTCTATTGGCAAAAATAGAATAGAATTGAAAAATTGAGTTGGCAGAATTAGAACTGGCAAAAGGTATCATTGGTTACATACTTACCACAGCTCCGCAGCCCAGGCACTTACCAGAATGGATAGAGTCCGAGACGAGTGACCATAAAAACAGCACTGAAGATCACAAAGAGGGTGTCACAGAGCCGCTGAAACTTGGCGTAATTGGCCAGCTTGGCTGCCTGGAGAAAGGAAGATGATAATTGAGTTGGGGAGAAAATCAGTTCTCACATAGGAAGAAGGGGGAAAAAAGAGGAATGATGAAGAAAGGGGTTGGGTCTTTACCTCCAGCAAGAAGTCTGAGGCATCATGTAGACACATGATCAGAGTTCCCACCCGAACCATGTTGGTGATGTAGGAGAAGGTGATAAGCCCAATGGTAGCCAAGTGATGCACAAACATGATTAGGAAGTCCTAGGAAGGAAAGGAAATACAAGAGGTAGGTCAAAGGCAAGCAAAGCTGTAAAAATACTAGACACCCAGCATCCTGCATTATTTTCTGAGGATCTTACCCCACCCTTTACAGGCTCTATTCTGCTCAGATTCGACCCCAATACTCCCTACATCAGTGGTTGGCCATAGTCTATATTAACATAGCACGAAGCACTTCTACACCTTGAGCAGTATCCTTTCATAATTGGAGAATACGTGGAGCATGGGTGCTGAGCTGACACTTTGGGAGTAATTTCCCAGTCAGACATGCAAGCCTTAGATACCCCTGAGACTCTAAGACTTCTGCTTTAATGAAAGAAATTTCAACCAAAGGGACCTAACAGGAAGGATAGGATTGTGGAGGGTCAAAGCTAAATTCTTCCAAAAAGATTCAGAGAAGTGCATACGAGCCAAACCATTTTACTGCAAGCACTTCCTGCTTTTAGATTTAAGGCTCTAATTTCCTCCTGGGTTCAAATGCCAAGATTAAACCTGAAAAAATTCTCCAAATACTTGCGTTACTACGTTCATCTATTAAATACTTCTCAGCCGAGTGAGGAAAAAGGTAGGAGGAGGTAGGTGAATTTGGGTCAGAGAAACAAGGATGAAAAATCTGTGCTCTCCACATAGATACAATGGTATTAGTCCTTTGCACTCACACGTTCCCTCTGAGGAGACATGGTAAATGTAGCGAACCACTCAGATATCCCTTCTCAGGAGAGAGATTGCTGGTAATTATACAGGTCAAACTTATACAATTGTAAAATTTTCAAAAACGCATGTTTCCTTGAAGTTTTTCATTCAAATTGCATGAAAAAGATAATAAAGAGATGGAATATATACTGAGATATGATTGATCAGTTGAGAAGTGGTTTTCAGCAATCACTAGTACTTCCTTCCATATCTTCTTTGAACAACAACAGACTGGTCAATAAATTACATATTATTAATGTGGGAGGAAGAAAACAAGACTGCATTGTCTGCTTGAGTAGAAAAACACCAGGTGGAAGACGTCAAACAAATGACTATTGCACAACATATATCAATGAACCTGCAATGCATGTTGGTGACTGTTTCACACATTACCACGTTAGAAAAAGATATGAAATTTTGATTTGTTATAAAGAAGTTCCTCAATGTCCAAAATTCCATTATAAGCCAAATATCATTACAATAAGATAATTGGTTCCAATGTTATACTATTTAATACGAAGTGATTCGTTTTTCATTATTTTGTTAAAAAGCGTAGTCAAGTTGCTGGTAGGTCATCCACAAGAAGTCTCCTAATGCAAAGGCTAATAATGTTCTAGTTCTTGAGTTGGGCGATGGATTCACAAATACACAGTCTATTACATTTTAAAACTTATAAATGCATTTCAAACTTTTTTATATATGCCATGTGTTAAAATTTTAAAAATCAGTATCATTTTTTGAGGAAGTGGGGTAACCAAAGAGGGAGAACAGAGAGAGATAACAACAGCCCCTAATGCCACACAAAAGCCAGATCCAGCTTTTCTGGAATCAGGTATTTTTCCCGAATCAGCCCTTAATACCCCCAAGTTCTGGCTAATTTCTTGAGCTTCTGATATGTAAGAACCTTGTAGAAGAATAAGGAAAAAAGTATACTTCTTAGCTGGTTAACTGTTCTTATCCTGGGGCTGCCCTGAATGTTTTAAAGATATTTCATCTTTAGTTAAGTCTCGTTTCTGGGAATAGTACAGTGAGCTAACAGTCCCATCAAACCCACTTCCTCCATCTCTCTGGTCCCAGTCAGGGAAGGGAATCCATCACATGGCAGTAATGGAAGCTGTCAGAAAGGAGGCAGCAAGTTAAGGAGCTGAGGGAGTCAACGTCCTTACCTTTCTTTTAATGTCTGTAAACTGAGAAAACATAAGAGACCAATAGAAGGCCAATTCCATGATATAATAGTAATAAAGCCCACTTGAGAGAGGCTGGAAAAGAGAAAGAAGTAGTTAGAATACCAGCTAATCAAGGTGCATTCCTTCTCTGCAACTTTCTCTGTCTTAAAGGACCAATACCCCAGATTATTAGACATCTTTCCTCCCCATCATCTCCAAGATCTGTAGCAGTTAACAGATTTTAGATTGGTATAGAAACTTAACCTCTTCCCTCTGCTCCTCTACATACACATTTTCAGCTATCTTTTAGAGATGAGATAAGGTTAACACACAATATAGCACAATTGATCAGTGTGTCTCGAATTGCAGCAATTAGTGCTTTTCACAGGATTAAATATGCATGGCGGCTTTCCCCTCTTCCACCCCTTTAGCAGTTCCTTGACATTTTTCTAGTATAAATTAGAACTAAAATGCTCTTAAGGTGGTTCTATGTTGCTCTTGATACAAAAAGGATACCTGAACCAGAAAGCACGTCATTAAATGTCAGAAAACTGCTTTTCTTTCCAGCCCAATTAGGGTGAATACAATGGGAAACTTGGAACAAAAAGTTCACTGGATTTCACCGCTACAGGGGCTTGAGAAATCGATAGCCTGAATATACGACCCAATGGGATTCAGCTCCCAATCTCTGAATACCAAGGAAACATGTCATCTGTCCTGGGACTGGCAATGCATCCTCACCCGCCCCACTTATACATCATATATAAGGCCCCTATCGTGAAATGATTCAGATCCTACCTGAAATGGATAGCTATGCCAGCACTGTTGGATGTCCCAGAACCAAGGTGACTAAGAAAAAACAGATAATCCAAGTCAGCCTTCAGGATTCTCACCTGGCCTCAGAATCTACCCCATATAGTTCCCCTCTCTCTAGGCTGGGGCTAAAAAGAGACAGGACCAGAGGAGTTCCCCTTAATAGATTTTAGGGGTCAATAAATAGTTACATTTTTTTCTTCTACAACAAGAAAGTAGTATTGTAAATAGAAAAACTATGCTTTGAGATAAATAAGAGCAGAGAGAGCTCTAGGATAGTTTTAGAAAACATCACCACCTGGAAAATATAGAGAAAGCAGGAAGGCAATTATTCCATTTGTTAATCAAGAAGGATATCTCCACAGGAGGTTCAAGAGCCAAAAATTTAAAGAGTTTGTTCATTTTATCTATGCTACTGCATTTATTACCATCAAATTGCTCATAGTACTGTCTTATTATCCTTTCAATGTCTATAGGATCTATAGTGATAACCTCCCCCATGTTGATAATTCACATTTTCTCTTTTCTTCTTGTGGCTTATCAATTTTAATCAAACTTTTCAAAGAACGAACTTTTGGCTTATCAATTTTATCCTTTGTTTGTCTAATGTCTATTTCATTAATTTCTGCTTATTTTTTATTTCCCACCTTTAACTTACTTTGTACTTCTGTATTTTAAAGATGTGGGGTACAAGCCAGGATTAGGTACGTAAGTGGTCTATGTACAGGTGATGTTTGGGCCTCCCTCTGGTCTGCACTTTAGGTTTAAGATATGTGCCCCACCGCCTCCCCGACAGAGTCCCACTACTGCCGATCCCTCTCTTGTAGTATTGTGATTAATGTTCAGGACCAACTTATGAGAACATGTGGTACTCAATTCTTTGTTTCTGTGATAGATTACTGAGTATGACAGACTCTGGATCCACCTAAGTTGCTGCAGAGTCCATAATTTTGTCCTTCTTTATGTCTGTGTAATAGTCCACCATGTTTATGTACCACGTTTTTTTAAAAATCCAGTCTACCTTCAGTGGGTAGCATGGCTGGTTCCACATTTTTGCTATTGTGAATAGTACTGCAATAAACATGTGTGCAGGTATCTTTTTTGTAGAATTTCTAGGTCATATGGAAGGTCAGTTTCTAGTTCTTTTACAAGTTGCCACACTGGCTGGGTGCCGTGGCTCAAGGCTGTAATCCCAGCACTTTGGGAGGCTGAGGAGAGAGGATTGCCTGAGAGACCAGCCTGGGCAACTTGGTGAGACCTCGTCTCTACAATATATCAAAAAATTAGCTGGGCGTGGTAGCGTGCACCTGTAGTTCCGTCTAGTTGGAAGGCTGAGGCAGAAGGATCACCTGAGCCCGGCGGGTTGATGCTGGGTTAGCCGTGAGCATGCCACTGCACTCCAGCCTGGGCGACAGAGTGAGACTTTGACTCAAAAAAAAAAAGAAGCCACATGGTTTTCCCTAGAACTAGTTTACATTCCCACCAACAGCATAGAAGCGTTCACTCCCTTTTCTCCACATCCTTGCCAGCATCTGTTGTTTTTTGTCTTATTGATGATGGCCATTCTTACTGGAGTTAGGTAGTATCTCAATGTGGTTTTGATTTGCATTTCTCTGATGAATGATTAGTGAGGCTGAGCATTTTTTCATGTATCTGTTGGCTGTTTGTATGTCTTCTTTTGAGAAGTGTCTGTTGATGTCCTTTGCCCACTTTTTGTTTTTTTTTGAGTTGAAGTCTCACTCTGTCGCCCAGACTGGAGTGCAGTGGCCGCTCCCGGCCACCGCAGCCTCAACCTGCTGGGCTCCGGCGATCCTTCCGCCTCAGCCTTCCGAGTAGCCGGAATTACAGGCACGCGCTACCACGCCGGCTAATTTTTTGATTTTATTGTAGAGATGAGGTCTCGCCTGCCCAGGTGGGTCTCGAACCCACGGGCTCAGGCAATCCACTTACCTCAGCCTCCCAAAGGCGCGGGATTACAGGCTGAGCCACTGAGCCCGGCTGCCCACTTTTTAATAGGACTGCTTGTTTTTTTCCTTTCAGCTCATTTAAGTTCCCTGTAGATCCTGGATGTAAGGCCTCTTTCAGATCTACAGTTAACAAGTATTTTTTTCCCATTCTGTGAGCTGTCTCCTGGCTCTTTTGATGGTTTCTTTTGCTTTGCAAAAGCCTTTCAGTTTGATGAGGTCCCATTTGCCTATCTTATCTCTTTTGGCATATGCTTTTGGGGTTATGATCAAGAATTGGTTGCCTATTCCAATGTGCATAAGTGTGTCCCCTGCGCTTTCGAAGATTTTTATAAACTGAGGTTTTATGTTTAGGTCTTTGATCCATTTAGAGGTGATTTTTGTGTATAGTGATAAGTAGGAGTCTTTTTCGAGATCTTAAAGTGGAAACTTAGATCATCAACTTTACACCATTCATCCTTTTTAATATAAACATTTAAAGCTATGAATTTCCCTTTAACTATGCTTTAGCTGCATCCCAGAAACTTTGATATGTTGTATTTTCAACGTCATTCCATCAAAAATATTTTCTAATTTTTCTTGTAGTTTTTTTTTTTATTTTTTTGACTTGGAGTCTCACTCTGTCACCCAGTCTGGAGTGCAATGGCCTGCTCCCGGCCACCACAGCCTCAACCTGCTGGGCTCCGGTGATCCTTCCGCCTGAGCCTTCCAAGTAGCTGGAACTACAGGCATGCTCTACCATGCCTGGCTAATTTTTTGATTTATTGTAGAGATGAGGTCTCACCAAGTTGCCCAGGCGGGTCTCGAACCCATGGGCTCAGGCAATCCATTCACCTCAGTCTCCCAAAGCACGGGATTACAGGCTGAGTCACCGAGCCTGGCATAGTTTTTTTTTTTTTTAAGTCAGTTTTACTCTCTTCCGGGCTGGAGTGCAGTGGCATGCTCTCGAACACAGCAGCCTTGACCTGCTGGGCTCAGGCGATCCTTCCACCTCAGCCTTCCAAGTAGCTGGAACTACAGGCACTGACCACCATGTCCAACTAATTTTTGAAATTTATTATAGAGACAAAGTCTCATCAAGTTTCCCAGGCTGGTCTCAAACCCCTGGACAAGGGCAGTCTTCTTGCCTCTGCTTCTCAAAGCGCTGGGATTACAGGCGTGAGCCACCGCACCTGGTCCTTGTGATTTTTTTATTTGATAGAGACAGGGTCTTGCTATGTTGCCTAGGCTGGTCTTGAACTCCTGAATTCAAGCAATCCTCCCTCCTCAGCCCTCCAAAGTGTTGGGATTACAGGCATGAGACACCATGCCCAGCCTTGATCCATGGTTATTTAGAAGAGTTGTTTAACTTCCAAATATTTTCTATATATTTTATTATTATTAACTTCTCATTTAATTCCATTATGGTCAGAGAACACATTCTGTAAGATTTCAGTATTCTGAAGTTTACTGTGTTTGTATGTCCAATTTGTTTGTAAATCCAACAAAGTTGGCCTAAGTATTCAACTAAAACAATTGGCTATACAGTACCAGCTACATCACTGCTGCTTTTTTGCTTGCTTCTGGACATCCTGGCCTTGAGATAAAGATAAAGTATTACTGTACTGTATACAGGACTATATAGTAAAGTATACAAAAGCACAACCACTTGTAGAGGATGCATGCACGTGACAATGTACACCAGATATGTGAACTTAGTGATCGGACATGTGAATACACAGTTGCATCTTTGAAATTTGCAACTTGGCTAGGCTCAGTGGCTCAGCCTGTAATCCCAGCACTTTGGGAGGCTGAGGCGAGTGGATTGTCTGAGCTCATGGGTTCAAGATCAGCCCGGGAAACTTGACAAGACCTCATCTCTACAATAAATCAAAATTAGCCAGGCATGGTAGTGAATGCCTGTAGTTCCAGTTACTTGGAAGGCTGAGGTGGAAGCCCAGCCAGAGCCCAGCAGGTCGACGGAATGAGACTCCTACTGGGAAAAAAAAAACAAAAGGAAGTTCGCAACTTAATGGTTCATGTGTAGGGGAATTATTGTGAATAATTTAGAAAGAACTAGGTGGCACAGGGGAAAAAAAACACAAACTCAGGAATCAAAAAGCCTGAAATTCTTCTCTGTTGATTTCATTTCTCCTCTTTGGATTTTTTGTCAAGTGTTTTGTAAACTTAAGTACTAGGCCAACGTGATTATTATTATTAGCATCATTTAGGGGAGAAACAGTAGAGTCATGAGGTTACTGAAGTCAGGCACCAAACACAAGACAATCTATTAGCATATAAACCTGGACTATGGGTATCAAAGAGGAGAAAAGTAAAGACCTAAAGGCATTTAAACTCTATCTCTAGAGATCTAAGCATGATTAGAACCCAATCAGAGGACAAAGAGTTTAGACTCACCGACCAGAGAAATCTAATTCCGTAGCAGAATATACATATATAAAAAGTGAATCTCCACCTAGGTGGGCAAAGAGTAAAGGTTAGATAAATAGCCACCCAAGTGAACGTCTTTAAGGCTAAGGAAGTCAAAATAACAGATACAGGGATAAGACAGTTACTGGTGGGAAATAGGTTAAGTTCCTAGAATAGAGACAAATACCTAAAAAGCCAAAGAAGTCATCTTCCAGCCTCTGTTTAAAACAGATTTCCACAAGTATATACTAGCTTTAATAAACTTTTCTTCCATATAAGACTCCCTAACAATAGTGCTTAATATTTTTCTTTGCATGACAATTACTAATACAGTGCTCTGTTTCTAGAGGACAATTAGTAGAAGCTCAGTGAAATGAAGTATAGTATTTCCCAGAAAAGGGATGCTTCCCTCAAAAATGCCCATTTACAGCAAGCTAGTACTATCTCTATCAAAGTGTACAAGTGTGCATATTTAGCTAGATAAGTATTGTTAAAGGAACTTATTCCCAATCTATTTGGGAAAGGGGAACAAAATAGAACCACACCTAGCTTATAGGCAACATGTCCAAGAAACGAAGGGTGATCAATCTTCCAGTTCTCTTCTTTCCTACCTGTATAGATTGAATTAGCTCTTAACATCCACCAACTGTCGCCCTATTGATAGAAGTGACTTCCAAAAAGAAAACCCCAGTCCGTTGTAGCCCCACCCTCCTCCTCGCTCCCTACCTCCCTCCCTGCCTCCCTCCCTGCACACCTACATGCTTTCACAGAATTTAGTGAGCGTTGGGGGCTTGTCCTGATTCCTCCGATGGCGAAACCAGCATTGGACTTTACGGACATCCCAGTCCAGTTGCTTGGACAGGCCTTCCAGCCTTTTCTTATCAGGATACTGTAGATGTATAACCAGAGTCAGAATACTCCTTTCTCCTCAAATCCTCATTAATCCCTCTGACTAACCGAGTGGCAAAGAGTGGTAGCCACAGTGGCTCAAGTGATGTTTATCTTTTCAGGTTGTAGCCCAAAGTCATTTTTAGTAAAGAGTCTATTTCACACATCAAGGACCTTTACCGCTCACCTATACACATCCTTGTTTGATCTTCTCCCTCCAACCCAAGCTGAGGAAAAAAGAATATTAAAATTCCCAACTGCAAAGGTTGTCATAACATTCCCATCTCATTTATGCAAGTGGGCAATGACAGACAGAACTGGAACAAGGAAAAACAAAAACAAGATATGGTATGTGTCTGAGGAAAGAGGCATAAAAGTGGCTGCTGGTCAAAGGTATACAATCCAGGGAACCTGGCCCAAAGGTTTTCCCTGAGGAGATGACGTTCTCCATATAATAGCTATATGGTCTAAACAAATGTGGAAGATCATTCCAGCCTACCCCTAGCCTTGAAAGAAATGTGCTTTCTATCCTTTGCCCCATAGCAACCCCTCATGTCAATTTCCTCTGTTTCTTTGCTCACTTACCTTGGTAATAGATATGAACACCTTTTCAAGGATGGCATTGGGTTGGGCCTGATAAGGACCACTGTCCTCGATGCCAACATGGAGTGCACAGGTTTTGGCAATAAACCTATAATGGAGAAAGCCCAAAGGCCAGTTCTTTAAAAAAATTTTTTTAAATTTACAGTGACACATAATAATTGTACATATTTATGAGGTACAATGTGATATTTCAATGTATGTATATATAGTATAACGATGAAATCATGGTAATTACCATATCCATCACTTTAAACATTTATCCTATCTTTGTGGTGATAACATTCAAAATCTCTTCTAGCTATCTTGAAATATGCAATACATTATTATTTGTTATAAGCACTCTGTGTAATAGCAACATCAAAACTTTTCTTCCTGTCTAACTGTAACTTTGTGTCCACTGATCAACCTCCCCTGATCGCTCTCCTCCCCTCTTTTCCTCCCAGTCTCTCTCTGGTAAGGACTATTCTCCTCTCTACCTACTTCTGTGAAATCAACTTTAGACTCCACGTCTGAATGAGATTGTGGGTTTTTGTCTTTCTGTACTTGGCTTATTTCATTTAACACAATGTCCTCTAGGTTCATCCATGTTGCCAAAAATGACAGGACTTCATTCTGTTTTTAGCTGAATCTTTATCCATCCATCATTAGATGGGCATTTAGGATGGTTCCATATTTTGGCTATAGTGGATAGTAATACAATAATAAACATGGATATACAGATGTTTCTTCAACATACTAACTTCATTTCCTTTGGACTTAAGTGTAAACCTTGAAACTATGAAACTGCTAGAAGAAAACATAGGGGAAATGTTTCATAAAATTGGACTTGGCAAGGATTTTTTTGAATAAGATCTCAAAAATCACAGGCAATAAAAACAAAAACAGACAAATGGGATTACATCAAACTGGAAAGCTTTTGCACAACAAAGGAAACAAGTGAAGAAAAAGAATGGGAGAAAGTATTTGCAAGCTATGCATCTGACAAGGGGTTAATATTCAGAAGATATAAAGACTCAAACGACCAATAACAAAAAAAAGACTGAGGCAGAAGGATCACCAGAGCCCATCAGGTCGAGGCTGCAGTGGCTGTGAGCGTGCCACTGCACCAGCCTGGGCGACAGAGTAAGACTCCAACTCAAAAAAAAAGAAGAAAAAGAAAAAACGTTCAATATCACTAATCATCAAAGAAATGCAACTCAAAACCGCAAGGAGGTATCACTTCACTCCCATTAGAATGCTGGCAAGCAGAGAAAAGGGAACCTTTATATACTGTTGGTGGTAATGTCAATTAGTGCAGTCATTATGGAAAACAGTATGGAAGTTCCTCAAGAAATTAAAAATAGAGCTACCATATGATCCAGCAATCCCATTACTAGGTATATATCCAAAAACCATTCTAAATATGGTTTGCTAAGCATGAAGGAGTGATCCTGATTAGTGGATTAATGGGAAGGAAAAGGGGAAACACTGGGCTAGGAGCCAGAAATTTTTGTCAACGGGTTCTGCCATTGACTCACTTGAGAAATAACCTGTTCAAGAAATGCTGGAACATAAGCTTTTTCCATTTTCCCCTGGCTTCTCTTAGTACATCTTGAGCTTTAGAGTCAGACAGATCTAGATCAAATCACCATTCTTCCGTTTACTTCCTGCATGAGCTTGGCCAAGTTATTTAGTCTTTGTGAGCCTCAGTTTTTTTCATCTATAAGATGAAGATGACAAATATATACATCCTTGGTAGTCAATATATGGTATAAAGTCTAACAACATTACTGGCATTTCCTAGCAGTTTTTCAGAAATGTATAACCTTGAGCCCCATCCCAGACTTGCAAAATCAGGATCTGCATTTTTTCTTTTCTTTTCTTTGAGTTGGAGTCTCACTCTGTCACCCAGACTGGAGTGCAGTGGCCACTCCCAGCCACTGCAGCCTGGACCCACTGGGCTCTGGCGATCCTTCCACCTCAGCCTTCCGAGTAGCTGGAATTACAGGCACACGCTACCATGTCCGGCTGATTTTTTTTTTTTTTTATTGTAGAGATGAGGTCTCGCCAAGTTGCCCAGGCGGGTCTCAAACCTGTGGGCTCAGGCAATCCACTCACCTCAGCCTCCCAAAGCGTGGGATTACAGGCTGAGCCACCGAGTCCGGCTGGATCTGCATTTTCAATGAGATCCCAGGTGATTCATGTGTCCATTAAAATATGAGAAGTTGTATTTCAATAAAAATCTTTTTTTTTTTTTGAGTTGGAGTCTCACTCTGTCGCCCAGGCTGGAGTGGCATGTTCATGGCCACCACTGCCTTGACCTGCTGGGCTCAGGTGATCCTTCTGCCTCAGCCTTCCAAGTAGCTGGAACCACAGGCACGTGCCACCATGTCCGGCTAATTTTAAATTTATTTTAGAGACGAGGTCTCGCCATGTTGCTCAGGCTGGTCTAGAACCCCTGAGCTCAGGTAATCCTCTCGTCTCCACCTACCAAAGCACTGGGACAATAGGCATAAGCCACTGCGCCCAGCTTCATCAGAATCTTCTAAGTATTCAACGAGATAATGTATATAAAAGATTCTGGCACAAGGAAGGTGCTTAATAAATGGTAGTTTTCCTTACTTCAAAAGACCAAGAAGATCTTAACTGGAGGGGAAAGTAGAACTGAGTTTGAGCTCTTCCTAACTACAGATATCCAAGGTCATGGTTGTCATCTTTCAGGAGTCCTGAAGAAAAACCAGGATGCTAGGAAGGATGAGAAGGAAATGACCTATTAGCGCTCAATTGATTAAGTCACTTAATCTCTTGTGTATCAGTTTTATTAAAAATAAAAGAAGGGGTTATGCAAAATTATTTCTAAGTTTTTTCTCTGTATTTAAGATTCTATGGTGTTATCATTAATTGTTATTAATTCTGAACTTCTAGACCTTTGAAAATTGAGGAACTAACTATTCTTTAGTTCTTCAAGAAAGCTCTCACTTTTCCCTCACAACCAGAGACTTGTGTGAGTATCAACTCTGGGAAAAGCTCTATATAGGCATTTTCAGGATAAGTCAAAACCCATTTTAACCTCTTAGCATCTTACCACATCCAACAATGAAAATATAACTGGGGCTGGTACAATGGCTCACGTCTATAATCCCAGCACTTTGGGAGGAGGCCGTGGTGAGAGAATTGCCTGAGCTTCCAGGTTCAAGATCAGCCTGAGCAACTAGGAGATACCTTATCTCTACAATAAATTAAAAAAAAAAAAAATTAGCCGGGTGTGGTGGCATGTGCCTGTAATTCCAACTACTTGGAAGGCTGAAGCAGAAGGATCACCTGAGTCCAGCAGGTTGAGGCTGTGGTGACTGTGAGCATGCCACTGCCCTTCAGCCTGGGCAACAGAGTAAAACTCTGACTTAAAAAAAAAAAAAAAAAAGGAGAAAATGTAACTGGAAGGTATAAGATGAAGTGCTCTACCTATTTTCTTGATCTGCACTTGAATCTAGAATTTATTTTCTCTAAAGGAGGGACTGAAAATAAGAAACTTTGTTTATTATCTTTCTACAATAAAACTTACTATTATTATTTTTTGAGGTGGAGTCTCACTGCATCTCCCAGGCTGGAGTGCAGTGGCACACTCTCAGCTAACCCAGCGTCAACCTGCTGGGCTCTGGCGATCCTTCCACTTCAGCCTTCCAAGTAGCCAGAACTACAGGCATGCACTACCAAGCCTGGCTAATTATTATTATTTTTTAATTGTAGAGACGAGGTCTGGCCAAGTTGCCTGGGCTGGTCTCAAACCCGTGGGCTCAGGCAATCCACTTGCCACAACCTCCCAAAGTGCTGGGATTACAGGCTGAGCCACTGAGCCCAGTCAATAAAACTTATTTTACCCTTATCACCAAAGTTCTTGAGCTTTTGCTAAAATATTTGAACTTTTTTGAAGCATTTATTCAGAGCACAAAGTTAGCCACATCTGTTACCCATTCTCTTTTATATAGGTGGTAAAAAAAAAAAGTTCCATTCAAAAGCCAATACTAAAGCCGGTCTTGGTGGCTCAGCCTGTAATCCCGCACTTTGGGAGGCTGAGGTGAGTGAATTACCTGAGCCCGCGGGTTGGAGACCCGCCTGGGCAACTTGGCAAGACCTCATCTCTACAATTAAAAAAAAAAAAATCAGCTGGGCATGGTAGCGTGTGTCTGTAATTCCGGCTACTCCGAAGGCTGAGGCGGAAGGATCGCCGGAGCCCAGTGGGTTGAGGCTGTGGTGGCCAGGAGTGGCCACTGCACTCCAGTCTGGGTGACAGAGTGAGACTCCAACTCAAAAAAAAAAAAAAAAAGCCAATACTAGTGGGTACCTTAATTTACATTTACTGGTAGTATACCATTCTGTGTACCAATAATATTTTAAGCCCAGCTCGTGTTTAAACTCCTCACAAACACAGATAATAGACTGCTTCTGTTATTTACCAAGGTCCTGTGCTCATCAGTTGCTCAGTAACAGACAAGCAACGGGTCTTACAAAACCCATTCCTGCTCTAATGGAGCTCAGTTTGAACCAGGATCAACCAGCATTCAGAAGAGTAAGGCTGTCATTCTTTGTTGCTGAGTTGGTGCTCGTATCAGAGATAAAAATCACCTAATCATTTCTCTGTCTCATCTTCTCTTCCCATCTACACAACTACATAAATATCCAAAAGCAGAAAACAATTTCAAAGGAATTTCCAATTCCTGCTCTTACCCCTAGCCCAGCCTCTTCCTCAGTCCAGAGGCAGTCAGGTGATTAAAGCTCAGGACCAAGAGTTAGATATTACCATCTGGAAGACCTTGTATAAGTTACACACCTATTGAATGAGGATAATAATGTCTGCCTCACAGGCATATCTTAAAGATGAAATGATATGATGCATGCCTAGCTCAGTACTTGACACTTAGTAAACACTCTTTAAGGGGTGATTATTATTATTTTCACTAGACAGATATATTTAAGTCTGGGCACTCCCCTGGTACCTCTGGTAGAAAGTGGGAAGAAATCCTTTTTTTTTTTTTGAGTCAAAGTCTCACTTTGTTGCCCAGGCTGGAGTGCAGTGGCACGCTTACAGCCACGCAGCCTCAGCCTTCCAGG